GCGGCCACTGCACTCCAGTCTGGGTGACAGAGTGAGACTCCGACTCAAAAAAAAAAAAATAGAAATGTAAATACTTTCTTTCTATTAAGCACATCCCTACATCAAATGACTACTAAGTTCTCATATCATCACTAGGTTACTGAGTTCTTTGGTTCTAACAACTTAATAATCGGACCTGTCAGGCATTTCATTTGATGTAGGAACACCTTGAAAAATGATTAAGGCACTAGGGCACCATGACCTGAGACATCTAGAAGCCTCTGACTCAACCCTACAGAGGTGCAGTTTCCACTCATGTGACAGTCCCATGTGAGTGTCCCTGGCTGCTACCAGCTTCCCCCCACATGGGGCTTAGGGATCCAAGTCTTCTCATCTTGTGACTCTGTCCTCTAATGCCCCAGAATGCTCCACATCCAGCCATCATGGATGGGAAAAGAGAGGGTGGAGAAGCACTTGAATCCTAAAGTCCAAAAAAAAATTGGAAAATCCACTCAATCTTCCACCTGTGTGAACCAGGCACGTGATCCCACCTGGATGAAAGGGGAGCGGAAAATGCAATCCCAAAGGGCAGCCACTTTCTGGCAGCACTGGTACTGTATGGGAGCAATAGGGCGATGGTCTCTGAATTTTTGCTCAACTGGCCACCTACTGGGAAACAGTTCTCCGTGAGTCTCCCACACATGTGAGCTTATGAGAGCAGCACACTGACTGCCCTTTGGTCCAGATCATCGGTTCAAGGACGGCTGTGTGTTGAACAGCCTTGGAGGATACAGCATCTTTCTCAGGAGCAGAGGGCAGCCATGCTTACTGCCAGCACCGGTTTCCAGTGTTTTCCTCTCGGTTCCAAATCCACCCTTTTGGCCTGCTCTGTGATAAGGGGGCTGGGTCTTATAAATGTTTCTCCTTTGCCAGCCAGCAAGACAGGAAGCCTTATCCACAGAGAGTGCTTCAGGAGCCGTGGAGGAGGAAGGGAGCTCTCTCTTCTTGCTCCTGGCTTGATTCACTCATCAGGCTCCTGAAGAAAGGCTTTTCTCCATTTCTCAGCCCCACACCATTTCTCCAGTGCTGAGTTCCTACAGAGTTCAGCTTCCTCCAGCTTGCGGCCACTGCACGCTGTCCAGTGCTCGACTCAGGCAGTGGCAGCACAGCCAGGGACCCCAGGTAGCAAAGGCCCATGTGCAGCCCAGGGGTATGGCACTCTGTGACCCCCTCCTCAGCCGCACGCACACCAAGGACCCTTCCGAACTGTCCATGCAGGGAGCCAGCCACCTCACTTTCATCCCACACAGCTGGGCTGGCCAGAGTCACACACAGAGGGTCCCCGCTCTTCTGAGAAAGTGGCTTCTTATCTCCTACTGCCGGGAGGCACCCAGTGAGTTCTGAGGCTTGACACCTCCCTGTGGACAATTTTCCTGGCCAACCCAGAGATCAGATTTCCAGCAAGTCCCACCATCAAGACATTTCAGCAATTTCCATCAATCAGTGACCAAGGCTGTGCCCTTTCCAGTGACACACCGGTCTCAGCCTGGAGGGACAAAGGCTCTGCCTTGGGCACTTGTCTCCGTCCTCATGTGGTGATTGTTCTTCATATATCTGCTATTGCTTTATTCTTTAGAAATCTTTTAAAACTCATTTCCTATGATTTTAATCCTCTGTTCATGCTTCTATCAAAACTTTCCCTGATCAAGTAATCATGTGATTTTTGTCTCCTGCCTGGTCCTAAATAATACAATACCCATTATAAAAAATAAAATAAAATAAAATCCTCAGGCTCCCTGAAATCAGGGCTCCTTTCTTGCAATGAAACCCACAGAGCGTACAGGTCTCAGTCTGTTCTTCTTTGAACTGCACCACGGAAACTGGGGCTTGGAAAAATTGGTGCCAAAATGCCAATACCCTGGCCACTGCTCTAGGTGTGAGTCATTAATAAACTACTCTTCCTCCCTGACCCTAGAGTTTTGTATTTTCCGTCGGCATCCTTGTAACTGTATCAGCTAAATTTGTTAGCTTTGCTAGTTGGCTAACATGCCAGACTCTGCATCATTTTTGAAAGCCAAATATGTTATACCTATATTATGAAATATTATGGAGTTATTAGTGATTAAGGCAGATCTTTAAAGACTTCTATATTGTTACATTAAAAATTAACCCCAGTACTTTGAGAGGCTGAGGCAGGAGGATCACTTGAGGCCATTAGTTTAAGAACAGCCTGGGAAACAAAGACCCATCTCTACAATAAATAATAAGAAAATTAGCCAGGCATGACGGCACACATCTGTAGTCCCAACTACTCAGGAGGCTGAGGCAGGAGGATCGCTTAAGGCCAGGAGTTCAAGACTGCAGTAAGCTATGACTGTACCACTTCTCTCCAGCCTGGGTGACAGAGCAAGACGCCATCTCAAAAAAAAAGCATATTAATAAACAAATTAATGTATTATACTCACTGCTGACATTGATAACTTTGGGAGTGGGATTAGAGAGTAAGAATCAGAAGACAATCTCTCTTTATGTGTTCTGTATTTTTCGAATTATTATAGTGAGTCTGTATAAGTTTTTGCTAGAAGGGAGTATTGTCATTTGGGGCTTTCCAGAACCGGCTATTTGACTAACACAACAACCTCATAATCTTCCTGTGCAGCCGTCCCTGAATGTGCAAAGTTGCTCTGCCCAGAAAATTCCAGATGTTCGCCTTCTAGTGAAGATGAAACCAAACTGGAATGCAAATGCCTTCCTGATTACCAAGGCGATGGCAAGCGTTGTGAGCGTGAGTAGAATTCAGATCCTGCTGGTTTATTCACTGAGATGTTCAGGTTCTTTAACAGGGAAAAGGCCCACGGCATCCTAAATATCAACAATGGCCACTCCTTTTACTCTGTGCAATCAAGTGAAACATATAAAAACTGCCGAGCAAAATGCTCATTGTGTGGCAGTGCTCGATAAAGGACAATTTATCCTTCTATTATCAAAGCACATATATGGATTTTTACACATTTTTTTATCACCTTAATAGCATAAAATTAATGCTTCTTTTTTCCTGTCGTGCTCATTTGCTTTTTAAGAGACTATATTGTATATTAGTAAAGAGCATGGACTCCAGAGCCAGACCTGGTTCAAGCCCAGATCTGCTTTCTACTAGCTACATAGACTTTAACCTGCCTAAGCCTCAGTGTGTCTATCAAGTGGGGATAATAATGGTATCCACCTTAGGGGACTGTTGTAAGGATTAAATAAGTCAATATATAGCAAACTCTTAGAGCAGGGTTTAGTATCTGTTATACCTTCTATAAGCATTAGTGGCTTTTGTGTTATTTTATATTGACCTAAACCTATAATATGGCAGACTAATATGTCAACATTATGTTTGTGGTTACAATTTCTGATGGCCCTACGTAAATCTGTTTGGTGGAGGAGGAGTGTTCAGATGGGATGAGATGAAATGTTTCCTTCTCTTTTAAAACTATTGATCTGCCTTCATGGCTTTGATGAGCTGTGAATAACTGTGGCTCACAGATCGGTTCCTTTTTCCATCCCTGAGTGTGCTCACTGTCTTTCATTTTGTCATTGCCTCTCAAGCCATCAATCCATGTTCAGATAACATCTGCCACCCTCACGCCCACTGCACATACCTGGGACCAAATCGGCACAGTTGTACATGCCAAGAAGGTTACCATGGGGACGGCCAAGTGTGCTTGCCAGTGGACCCCTGCCAAACTAACTTTGGAAACTGCCCTCCAAAGTCTACAGTGTGCAAATATGATGAGCCTGGACAGGTGAGCAAATGACGCGGGAAACAGGTGCACCTGGAACAGACAACCCATTGAAGGTGAAATTGTGCCGTGGGCATCATCTGTCTTCCATTCCGAGTCTCCCTTCTGATGCTCAGTCTGAGCCTCCTGTCGGGGTTCATGCTACCCCTAACCACCTGCTCCCTCCTCTGAACTCACAATTCCCTAGCTCCCTTGTCATACGTTCTCTTCTATCACAGCCCTACTTGGTGTTTGGCAAAACAGACACATAATTCAAAATTAGATGAACAAATTAACGGTTAATCTATTGACTTTCACCCCAAACCCTCCATTCTCTCTAATGTCTTTTTAAGAGGGGCTCTTAGAACCAAAATACCTTGTCCTGAAGGGATGAAAACAGATCAAATGTCAGACAGCACTAACAGATTGTAGGGAGCAGTGAAGACCTTCCGGGGCAAAACACTGCACCCTACATCATGTCATGACAGTAACTGGTGAAAATCAGTCTGTTCAGGAGACCTTTGCTGAGGACTCCAATTGAAAGAGCTCTGCCCATAATCCCGCACTCATCCATCCAGTGTTTCATAGATGCCTACTGTGCCCATCCCTGCACATTGAGTCCTCAGAGGAGGAAATATACACACACAGAAAGCATAGAAAAAGTTCAGGGCCCAACCCCCACACCGCCATGGGTCTCCTGCAGTCTAATCAGAACCCCAGTGGGAATGTTCCCAGAATTCCCTGCAAAGAATCCACCCAATCTTCCCTCCAAAAGGAAAGCATATATTAACGAACATTTCTGCTATCAATTTCTAGAGGCAGGTTTACAGAAACATCCAAGGGGATAAATTCCTCTCTGCAAAGTGAGGGTGCTTATGGGAAAATTCATGTATGACATGGATGCTTAAACCTCATACATGAGATTTAAAATATGCTTTGTTTCTTTAAAAATGGATTCCAGGGCAAATTCTCAAGTCCTAGGAATCCTTTCTTGTCCACACAGAAGCAGAGAACTCATTGCACTATCCCAGAGTAGGGTTTCTCCACCTCGGCATGGTTGACATTTTGGATAAGATAATTCTTTGTTGGGGGAGGGGCTGCCCCATGAATTGTAGGATATTAAAGGCATCTCTGGCCTGTAGTAGCACTGCCCTTCTCCCATTGTGACAATCAAAAATGTCTCCAGATCTTACCCAGTATGTCCTAGACTAAGACCCCTGATTGAAAACTATTATCTAGAGCAATCATACCTCCCTTCTGAACTCCAATCTCTGCTCACTAATAGACAGTCTGAAACAAGGAGGAACCAGGAGGTCAAGGGTTAGGAAACAAGAAAGCCAAAAAACTAAACTTTACAAACGAGGGTTATGAGCCTCCCAACAGGTGGAATATGTAAATATGATTTCCACTTCTGAATACCTTGACAAATTTTAGTTAAAACCCATACTTCAGACCTATACTGAGTTAGTTTTTATGAGTCAATAAAAGGCTGAATTAAAGAACGCCAGCAGAAGTGACTAACTAAGAACTATTTGTTTCTCTTTCTCTGCCTACTGAAGTCTCACTGCGAGTGTAAGGAGCATTACCACAATTTCGTGCCTGGAGTGGGGTGCAGTATGACCAACATCTGTGAATCACATAACCCGTGTCATAGGAGTGCAAACTGTACCACCATTGCACCAGGCCAAACCGAGTAAGTCTTCCCAGTTCCACCCCCACCTTTTCTGAGCGGTGAAAGTGGTGGTCAGTGAGTGCTGTGTGTTTCCTGAGGAGAGGACATGTTTCATATTCAGCCTTTTTCCACCCCTACCCCCCATATCAGAAGCAAGGGTCAACAAATCTTTCTTTAACTAATGAAGCACTCAACAATTATTTCCTTTATAATGACCACTAGAACTCTCTGGAACATTGATATGACCTGATCACTTGGCATGAAGTGATCAGAACATGGGAGAAGGAAACCACTATGACTGGAGAAACAAGTGGTTGCTGAGATTACAGGGACAGGAGCTCCAATGGACATGCCTGTTTCCTCACTCATGAAATATTGCTTGTTAGTGGTGCAAAACAAGACTGAGGAAAGAGAGTAAACACCAGCGGTACTTCCTGGACTCCAGGTTTCCAAAGAAGGGATTTACTGTGATTCCTTTGTGTGAAAACTCTTGAAGCAGAGGCAGCTCATGTGACAGGAAGGAGGTGGTATTTGGAGTTAAAGACCTGGGTTTACATCCCAGCACTGACACTTACCCGATGCATGACCTTGGGAAAGTGGCATCGTCTGTCTAGCTCAGTTTCTCCATGTATAAAATGAGCACCGTGTTACCTACTCCATAAGGTGTTGTGGCAATTCTGTGAAAGAATGTTTCTGGAGAATGCTGCACACGTCTGTTGTGTGACCAGTGACTGAACTAACTCTTTTGACTCCCAGACTGAGGTTTCTACCTCTGGACCACTTTCTTTTCCTGTCATCAGCATCTGTGAAGGACTCTTCCTGCCACTGTGAGCTCCAAACCTCAATCGACATTGAACCGTGGAATGATATAAAAATATTTTTTGTGCTTCCAGAGCCCCTCCTATCTCCTTCAAAGCTCATGCATTTTATAATTGGGTTTTCAATGTGTACCTTTGCCCAGATAAGTTTTATGATTGTCATGTTCTATCTGTACTCACTGTGGTTGGAGTGGAAGGAGCTTGGGTATCAGATCATCTGGGTTCAAATCCTAGGTCTGCCACTCAATTTAACCTCTCCTAACTGATGTCTCTTCGACCGTTAAGGGGGATAACTGTACCTCCCACCAAGATTGTGATGAGGATTAAATGAGATTGCATCCATCATTTGCTGGGCAGAACCTGGCTCACATAAGTCATGCGATACACATGAGCACACATGCAAACACACCACAGCCATGCATGTAGACACATAGGCCCCAACACACATATGCACATGGGTGATCCTCTCCTCAAACATAAATTACAGTAATATTAATAACCACACAGGCCAGTGTGCACATTTCTGCACCATCCTCTGAGAAGGTCTGATGAGAATACCTTAAGCAATGTCTTCCCTTTGTGTTTGAGAAGATAAAGTCTAAAAATGAAACATCAGAACAATGTACATTGCATCCAAACTATGTTTAGAATGTCAACGGAAATAACAGTGAATTTTGGGGGGTGCCTTTGTTACCCACACAAGCCTTCTCTCCACCTCCCCATCCCCGATTGACTTCAGCTGGAAAGAGTCTAGATCAAAGGTCAAGTTACAATGATAAAATATGAAGCCATCGACCCTCAGGGCATTTAGTTCATGTGGGATAAGGATTTATTTGGATTGAGCCTCTTCAATATGGCAAGTCATTTATGCAGAATCTTCAAAATCACACGGCGTTAGTCATGGAAGATCCTTGTGGGTTCTTCCACTTACCAGTGGGAGACCTCAGATAAATCTCAGCTTCTTCAAACCACAGCTCCTTCACCTGTCAGGTGGACCACAACCTCCTCCCAGTGAAGAGCTGAGGGGATCATGTACCCAGCATGCTTTTACAAACACGAAGCTCCATTTTGCTTCTGACTAAGAAGAGCAAATAGCTTCATGCCTGTGATGCTGTGCCTTTTTATTTTAACTGAACAGCAGAAGTAGGAAGTAAGGGATAAGAGAAGAGAAGACCAGTTCTCTCTTATTCAATTCAACTCAGCTGAAGAAAAGGCAGAGCGTGACAAGAGCAGGCAGACTGAGAAAAGCACCGTTGACGTTCCAACAGCACAAAAGTACGATCAATCGACAACCGTGAAAAGTGAAATTCTTGGAGTGTCAGCGACATTGGTGATGTTCAGTGTCTCCATAAGACTTGTACAGGTTGGGCTGTCCTTGATATGAACAATCTTCCCAAGGTCCTGTTCCAGGCAACATGGACAGTGGCAACAGGCTTTCCCAGATGGACCTAGGTTTAAATCTCAGTTCAGTCACTTCCAGATGTGTTTTCAGCAGTTCGACTCAGACCTAGGTCATCACAGGTACCTGCTCCGGGTACCACATTTTTTTTTTTTTTCATTAATCAGTATTTTTTATTATGGTTTTGTGGGGTACAGTTAAGGGTTAGGTGTACAATGACGTTTCATTCAGGCACCCTGTAGATAAGAAGTGTTTTCCCATCCCCCGACAGATATTTGCTACTGTTAATCCCATCCTCCTCCCCCCCATAGTTTCCCAGTACCATCCGTCATTTTCTCATAGTATTGCATTGGATGTTCAAGGTCCATTATATGAGTGAGAACATGTGATATTCGGATTTTTGTTTTTGTGAGAGGTCACTCAGTATTATAGACTCTAGTTCCATCCAGATTGCAGCGAAATTCATGATTTTGTTCCTTTTTATGGCTGCATAGTATTCCATCGTGTATATGTACCACATTTTTTTAATCCAGTCCTCTTTTGATGGGTAGCATGGTTGTTTCCAGGTTCTTGCTATTGTGAACAATGCTGCGATAAACATACGTGTGCAGGTATCTTTTTTATAGAGTGATTTGTGTTCTTCAGGGTATATTCCCAGTAGGGGGATTGCAGGGTCATATGGAAGGTCAATTTTTAGAGCTTTTAGGAATCGCCACACTGCTTTCCACAGAGGTTGCACTAGTTTACACTCCCACG